GATGTTCTCTCAAACAATTGAACTGAATCATGGCTGAGTCAAAAAGCCATATGGCATCTAAGCTGATGATTTGTCTGTATTTTTGTTGGGGGGGTGTTATTTTTGTTCTTCTAGATCACTCAAAGACTTGCCGGCCACAGGCTCAGTAATGTTCAGGAAAAATCCAAGTGTATGAGTGTACACCGTCAGACTTCTATTTTACTCCTGTGGAATGCTACCCTCTGAAAGTCTTAATTATTTGCTTTCTTCATGAAAATTAGTCAATATATTTATGCAAGCAACTCAGAATCACAAGTCATTCTTTATCTCTTGAAATCATTTATCTGTCATAACTGATATTTCCTATATATTCTTAACTAGTCTCTTCTGTGCTTTTATTTTACATATAATGGTTCAAGAAAATCATAAAAATACTATCAAATGCCCATTATGTGCTAGATGTGAATGTAAGAATTAGGAATACAGAGTTAAATAGGAAACCTGTCTCTGAGGGAATGGCAGGTAATTGAGAGCGTTTAATACTCTGTGATGGTCTTGAAAAGAGGCAAAATTACAGGACACAGGCCTAGAGATTGAAAAGACTTCTAATATTATCATCATATCTGTACCATTATAACCAAATACCTAACAAAAAACAACCTATAAGAGGTAGGATTTAGTTTGGCTCACAACTTCAGAGCATATGTATGCTCAGCCCATGGTCACCTGGCCCTGTAAGTTTAAGGGGAACATCCTGTTGGCAGAAGGATGCAGCAGAGAAGAATCTCATGGCAGACTGGAAGCAAAAAAAAGGAAACACATGAGAGGACCAAAGCATAACATGGCAACAGTTCTCAACCTGTGGGGCACGGCCCCTTTGGCAAACCTCTACCTCCAAAGATATTTACTTTACAATTCATAAGAGTAGCCAGGTGGTGGTAGCGCACGCTTTTAAACCCAGCACTCGGGAGGCAGAGACAGGCAAATTTCTGTGTTTGAGGCTAGCCTGGTCTACAGAGCGAGTTCCAGGACAGACTCCAAAGCTACAAAGAGAAACCCTGTCTCAAAAAAACAGAAACAAAACAAACAAATAAAAAAACAATTCATAAGAATAGCAAATTTACAGGCAACAATTTTTTTTTAATTTTAGCCATAACCATAACATGAAGCACTATATAAAAGGGTTGCAGCATTAGGAAAGTTGAGGAACACTGTTCTAGGGTCATATCCTAGTGACCTACTTCTCCCAACTAGGCCCCACCTCCTACCTTTTACTACCTCTCAACAATACAAACATATGATAAATTCATCAAGTGACTAATCCATTGATCAAAGCAATCAGGATTTAATCAATTCCCAAAAACCCATCAGCTAGCAATCAAGTCCTTAACACATGACTAGTGACAGTCATTTCATACTAAACCCATAACAAAACGAAAATTGAAATGATAAATAAATAATGAAGGAAAGCCAGGCAATGGTGGCGCACACCTTTAATCCCAGCACTTGGGAGGCAGAGGCAGGCAGATCTCTCTGAGTTCGAGGCCAGCCTGGTCTACAGACTGAGTTCCAGGACAGGCTCCAAAACTACACAGAGAATCCCTGTCTCAAAAAACAAAACAAAACAAAACCAAAAAACAAAAAGAAAGAAAATTACAAGTGTGTATATACACAGAAATAAAGAAGGTTTACGGAGTTTATAAATGTAATGTCACAACACTTGCGCTATTTCTGTTAGTATTGGAAGCAAGCCAAATATAGCTCATTTTACTATATAACCTATAGTTGCCCCACAAAACTTGGCAAATTTCCTATCTTCATTGTCAAATTGGTTGGATCTGGAATCATTCTAGGAGACACACTTCTAGGCATGTCTATGAAAGTTATCTGGAAAGGTTTAACTGAGGAAGACATGATGCCCAAATGGCAGAAGAGAAAAAAAAAAAGAGAAGTCCAGAAAGCACCAGCATTACTCCCACCCCTTACCCCAATTCCTCATTACAGTGTGAACAGTGCTTCACAGGTGTGGTTGTTTGAATGCAATTGGCCCCCACAAACTCATAGGGAACGGTACTATTAGGAGGTGGGGCTTTGTTGGAGTAAGTATGGTCTTGTTGGAGGAGGTGTGTCACTGCTGGGGTGGGCTTTGAGGTCTCCTATGCTCAAGCTCAGTGTCGGTCCCACTTCCTGTTGCCTTCGGATCGAGATGTAGAATTCTCCATTCCTTCTCCAGCATCATGTCTTCCTACACTCCGCATGCTTCCCATCATGATGAAAATGGACTGAACCTCTGAACTACAAGCCACTCTGTTAAATGTTTCCCTTTTTAGGAGTTGTAGTGGTCAGGGTGTCTCTCCACAGCAACAGAAACTCTAACTAAGACAACAGGTCTTACCACTATGCCTTCACGCAATGACGAACTATAGTCAGTGAGACAAAATCTTAGCTTGCTTTTTGTCAGGCATTTGGCCACAGCAATGAGAAAAGCAACAATATAGTCAGTCAAACAAATGAATAAATAACACAGCACCCTGAACAGCTTTTTAGGGTTAAAAATACTTGTTATTGACTAGTACTGTTAAGTACTAGTGATTTTTTTTCTCAATGGTGTCAATTGGTTTATCCTCAATGTTCTATTCAATTCAATGTTCACTGAGTGTCAAAACAATCTAGGCATCCTGCCAGGAGATGCTCCAAATATAATGGTTCCTTCCCTCGATAAGAGTGCTATCCAGTAGGGAAAGACTGGTAGAGAAAGAGTATTCTATTATAATGAGCTAGCACAGTGGCCTGGTAAATAAAGTAACAAACCTGAAAACCTTAGCTCAATTCCCATGGCCTCTAAGGTGGAAAGAACTCAAACATGCCCACTCTAATAAAAATGTAAAGAGAAAAAAGGGCATTCCATTTTGAAATGAAGAGACAGTGAGAAAAATTCACACTTTAACACCTCCCTCTTTTTAAGCAATTTAGTTTGTTCAGTTATAAAAATTAAAAATGTAGAGCCTAACTATATATACCTTCACACACAGCAACTCAACGGGAACACTCCCTTACAGTCAAGTCTGAAACTAAAAAGTCAACAAATCCACAAAGCAGAATCCTGTGACCAATCCTGACTGGATGACAGGGGCTCAATGTTCCCTGCACTTTGTGATGCGTGTGGTTCAGAGCCAGGCTGGGACTCCTCTGCATGTGAAGGGTAAAAAGCCCTTCAAACACTGCAGCCCACATGCAGGCTACATGGAAAGCCATGTCCAGTAGGAAGCACAGAGCGCTTCACTGAAAGGACCTGGTCAAAGATGCTGGCTGCCCAGGAACTAGACACATGGATCTCTAATACTATTACTATCTAAATCATCAACAAAATACCAGGTTTTAAGCCAAGATCACTGGGATCAGGTACAAGAAAATGTAAAACCTTCACAGAAGGTGTAGTGAGTAAAGAAAGAAGGAAACACGAAAAAAAAAGTTGTTACTCAAGGTAAAGGTTCACAGTGAAAAGTATCAATAAGAAAAACTGGTTGCTGCCCTCACTACTCCCAGTGACCCACTGACAGATTGTGTCCTTACACTTAACCCTAGGCTATAATGAGCTAAGTCCTAGGCCCAAAAGAACTCATCAGTCTGACAAAATGGCTCAGAGGGTGGTAGCGCTTACAGCCAAGCCTGACCATCTTAGCTCGATTCCTGAGACTTGCATAGGAGGAGAGAATACAGGCCATACGGTTTCCACACACACACACACACACACAATCAACAAAAATGTACCTTCAAAAAAGAAAACTTCCAGTAGGTAGTACAAAAGGGGCTCGGCAATTTTCTCTCCAGAGAACTACTGTGTGCTCTCAGGCAGGGGGCTAGAGGGCAAAGACTGCAGTTACTACAACACAGAGAGCATCAGCTCTGCACACCCTGAAGTCATAGCTTCTTCAACAAGATGAAGGAAGGATCTAGAACTCTGGGGCTCACTGGGACATCTTAGCACTTCCGTTGACTAGTGATTCCATGAAATAGCAACTGTCACACCCCGAGAATAACAAGGGAAAGGTAGCCAAGGGCTCAGACCCCTTAGCAACAGGGCTCATCCAAACTTCAGGATGAACCCAGGGAACATCCAGTATGTTGAGTAGAGACAGATGAACCTTACCCTGTGAAAGCCTCTGCAGCTGGACTATATCCTGCTCCAAAAGTGCTCCTCCTAAAAGTCTTAGATTCCACAGGTTGTTGCTACCTTGATCGGGCAGATTCAGACCAGAGAAAACCTAAGCAGAAGAGTAGATTGTAACTCATGCTAGGACTCAGGCCACACCTGGGCCCAGCCAGCCAATGACATCAGGATTAATTTTCAACCAAAGAACAAGTTAATCAACTACATAAGCCATGCATCTTCAGGATAAGCTGCTGCTACAGTGCATGTGCTCCTGGGGAATGAGCCTCAGCTGTCCACAGCAGTTATCAGCTGTTCTTACATTAGCTGGCTTGTTTTTTCCCCCTAGATTTTCATTCACTCACTAATCAGTCAGCTCAGCTCAGGTTCTGGAAACATAAAGCAAGCACTGTCTGGCACAGAGAGTACGTTCATGAAGCAAAACCCCCAAGCACCAGATTAGTAGCAGTGTTAACAAACAATACCCAATCCTTCTACTTTTCTTACAGCAAATTTTACTATTTAATTTTTAATATTTTTTATTTGTGTGTACAGACTAATGAGGAGCCAGGTGGTAGTGGCACCTGCCTTCAATCCCAGCACTTGGGAGGCAGGAGTAGGCAAATCTCTGTCCAGTTCATAGTTACTGAGAAATCCTGTCTTGGGAAGAAAGACAGAGGGGAGGGAGAAGAAGGAGGAGGAGGAGGAGGAGGAGGAGGAGGAGGAGGAGGAGGAGGAGGAGGAGGAGGAGGAGGAGGAGGAAGAGGAGGAGGAGGAGGAGGAGGAAGAAGAAGAAGAAGAAGAAGAAGAAGAAGAAGAAGAGAGACAGACAGACAGATAGAGACCCTAAAACTAATGAGTATGTGGGTGAGCAAGCAGGTTCCTATGTGCCATGGCGCACATGTGGAGGTCTATGCTGGCTACTCTTTTATGTCAACTCAACACAGGCTAGTCATTTTGGAAGAGGTAGAACCTCAGTTGAGAAAATGTCCACCAGACTAGCCTGTGGGCAAAGCTTGTGGTACATTTTGTTGACTGATGATTAATGTGGGTGGCAGGTTGGGGTTCTCCATTGCAGCTGCCACTCGCTCTTTGTCATTTATCTGCTTGTTGATGTCTTCTTCTGTAGACTGAGTTCCTTCAGAAATGTAGATTTCCAACTTGTGTTTGAACAGTAGACACCGCTGAAGTTTTACTCTTAAGCACAGTCCAATAAGAATTGCCAAAGAGCAGTGAGGTGCTGTTGGTGTGAACTTGATAATAACCAAACAGTCTTCTTCATATAGCGCTTTCTCTTCCATGGTGGCTCCCTGCTCAGAAAAGCCTGAGAGCCATAGGACCCTGCTCAGCGTCCAGGAGAGCAGCCCGGACACTTGTTCCATCCTCACGTTCCGCCATCCCTGGTGACTGTCGGCAAATTTCATCTTACAGTTATTTTACCACAATTTAAGAAATTCGCATTGTAATACGTATATTACCTGTATGTGGTTGGATACTTCAATGAGTGAATTATATGCTGTGTGATCTGTATTTTAAAATAGCTCTTGGAAGAGAAAGCGCTAGAGGTTTATGATTTGATTTGAACTATCCGGGACCAAGAAAAGCCTAATACTTTAGAAGAACTGGAGGTGGTGATAGAGAGTTGTGTGGAGGTTCAGGAAATATATGAAGAAGACTGTTTGGTTATTATCAAGTTCACACCAACAGCACCTCACTGCTCTTTGGCAACTCTTATTGGACTGTGCTTAAGAGTAAAACTTCAGCGGTGTCTGCTGTTCAAACACAAGTTGGAAATCTACATTCTGAAGGAACTCAGTCTACAGAAGAAGACATCAACAAGCAGATAAATGACAAAGAGCGAGTGGCAGCTGAAATGGATTACCCCAACCTGCGGGAAATCGTGGAACAGTGCGTCCTTGAGCCTGACTGAGACCATCTTAAGAGCCAGTGACCTATAACTGTTTGAGCTATTTGTTTAAATCTTTGTTGAGTATGTAAGTGATTTGTACCTCAAAGCATTTTTTTTCAAAGTTTATTAAATTATGAAAGTTTCCATTTCCGCCCCTCCTCCCAACACCCTTCCACTCCCCCCCTCCCCCTCCTCCTCCCTCTCCATCCCTAAGAGCAGTCAGGGCTTCCAGCCCTGTGGGAAGTTCAAGTTCCTCCCCCCTCCCTCCAGGCCCAGGAAGGTGAGTATCCAAACAGACTGGATCCCAAAAATCCAATATATGCAGAGGAAACAAGTCCCAGTGTCATTGTCCATGGCTTTTCAGAAAGGCTCCGGGCCAGTCACATTCAGAGAATCCGGCCACATTCAGAAAATCTGGTTGGATCACATGCTCGTTCAGTCCCAGTCCAACTGGCCTTGGTGAACTCTCATTAGATCAGTCCCCTTGTATCAGTGGGTGATCGCACCCCTTGCGGTCCTGAGGTTTTTTTTTCATGTTCTTCCTCCTTCTGCTCCTCATTTGGACCATGGGGGGGCTCCCTCAAAGCATTTTTTAAAGACTCTTTTTTGTTGTTGTTGTTGTTTGGTTATTTTGAGACAGAGTTTCTCTGTGTAACATCCTTGGCTGTCCTGGAACTCACTCTGTAGACCAGGCTGTCCTGGAACTGACAGAGATCCGCCAGCCTGGGATCTCCTGAATGCTGGGATTAAAGGCATGCACCACCTCCCGGCTTTTTTCAAGGATTCTTTCCAGTAGGCTTCAGTTACCAGGTAGAACCTAACTGTTCAGAGAGTAACATTCTCAGGATTTCTATCCTAAGTGATCAGACAGAAAAATATTCTAGTTATATATATATAGTATATAATAATATTCTAGCTACTATGTGTAAAATTGTTACTATTTTTCTGATGACCATTCTGATACAACTGCTTTTCATGTTAAATATCTACTGTGCCCAAATTATTTGATTTAAATCATCATCCTAAATAAATACAACAGATGATTCTGGTAATGACAAAAAAAGATGAAATTTGCCATGTTGGCTACTTTTAAGTCTGCAATATTTCATTCACAACTCAACAGCCATCATTACTACCTACCCCCCCCCTCTCGGTTTGTGAGACAGGGTTTCTCTGTAGCTTTGTAGCCTGTCCTGGAACTAGCTCTTGCAGACCAGGCTGGCCTCGAACTCACAGGGATCTGCCTGCCTCTGCCTTTTGAGTGCTGGGATTAAAGGCGTGCGCCACCGCCCAGCTATTCCCTATTTCTAAAACTTTAATATCCAAACTTGAAATTCTTAATCATTAAGTAGTAACTTTCTATTCCTCGCTGCCCAAAACCTGATAGCCTCTAAATTCACTTCCCTATGAATCTGCCCTATGGTCCATAAACGGAATCATATAGTATTTATCTTTTTGCAGTTCCTTTAATTTCTTGGTGATAATCTACGCTTAGCTTTTTAAGGAACCATCAAATTGGTTTTATGTTGGCTACAACATTCTACATTCTCACCAACAATGTATAAAGATTCGATTTCGGGCTGGGAATGTAATTCAGTAGCAGAATACTTAACTCAAAAGTGCAAGGACCAAGGTTCAACACCCAAATCCACCAAAAAATGGGGGCATCAATTTCTACACATCTTCACCGATGCTTGTTCTTTCCCATCTTTTTGGATAACAGCCAGCTGAAAGGTGTAAAATGGTATCTCACTGCGACATTCACTGCTTTTCACTAGCTGCCACTGAGTACTGAATAAAGCTGAATGGCATTTGGACATCTATATTAAAGCACAAGAGGTTTTGCCCAATTTTTAAAATGGACTATCTTTCTAGTGAATTGTACAAATACTTTATACATTCTGAAACCATCTTTTGTTAGTATCAGGGATGTGTGTGTGTGTGTGTGTGTGTGTGTGTGTGTGTATGTATGTATTACAAATACTTTAGTCTATGCCTTGTCATTTTGTTTTCTTACAGGGTTTCTCTGTGTAGTATTAGCTGTCCTGGAACTCACTTTTTAGACCAGGCTGGTCTCAAACTCACAGAGATCAGCCTGCCTCTTCCTCCCAAGTGCTGCGATTAAAAGTGTGTGCCACCGCTGCCTGGCCATCATTTTGTCTTTTGATCTAGTGTTTAATTTTAAGTCTAAATGGATAAAGTATTTCACTTAAATAGAATGTTATTATGTCTTAGGTAAGAAATGATGCTTAGTGAGGGAGGTGGGGCAGCTATGGGTAACGATGGGTGTGAATAACAAAGGACAATGACATCACATGTGAAAACATAAAAAACCCCGTTATTCTGTACTACTAAAAGAGGCTGACTTTTTTTTTAAGTTTGCCTAGGTCACAAAGAAACTATTCTCTTCTAGATACTCAGATATTGAGATCTATATTCCATGTTGAAATATCTTTCTGGACTGGTCTGAGCTGTAGGTCAAGGTTCATTTTATTCCAATTAATAGACAAATAGTTGTTCCCTCCTTGAAAACAATGTCCTTTAAGTTGATTTTGGTTTTACATTTATAAATATCTTATAAAGAAACTATAGCCAGAATAGGCTTTTATTTTTTCACACAAAATAGTCAGCGTTCAATAAAAAGAACCAAATGATCAAACACACACACAAAAGATAAAAACAATAAAAAGTTATCATATCCAGTCTTTATAGTCAGCATGTTTAAGAATTAAATGAGAAAGAACATCAATTTCAACAAAGTACAGGAATATAAAAACAAATATATTAATTCAAAATTGCAATACAAAACACAATGATAGCAGGTTTGATGAAGAAAAATTAGCAAACTAGAAAGCAAGTTAAAAGCAAATCTTTAAGCAGATATTTAAAGAGGGAAAAAGTGTTTTAAGAACTGGAAAGATCCTCCTGGAACACCTGAAGTCTGGGCTAAAAACACTAGATTTACCCAGACACACAAAAACATAGTTAAGAACTCCACTTCCAGGAGACCCACAGGCACCTGTGCACATGCACATACATACAGAGAGACAGAAAAAAAGACTCTCTCTCTCTCTCTCTCTCTCTCTCTCTCTCTCTCTCTCTCTCTC